TTGGCGACTTCAACGCCCACAATCCAATGTGGGGTCGGAACATTCGAGTCTCCGATGAGCGCGGCGAAGTAGTTGAGCGGTTTCTGGATTTACATCAGCTTGTTCTTCTAAATAAGGGAGATAATACTCACTTTTCTCTCGCACACAATAGTGAATCGGCCATTGATCTCTCTATATGCTCTCCACAAATAGCAACTTTCTTTGATTGGCAGGTGGATGGTGACATTCATCATAGTGACCACTATCCGATTAAACTGCAGACGACCTTCCATTCGGAGGCCGATGCAACATCTGCTTTTGTTCCTCGCTGGAACCTAAAAAAAGCAGACTGGGTTAAGTTTGAAGCTTTTTGTAACATTGATAACGACCAATTTCAATCTCCAGAACAAGGAATCAATTTCCTTACTGACACCATTTTGACAGCAGCTGAAGAAGCCATCCCAAAGACAACGTATTCAACAAAACACAAACGAGTCCCATGGTGGTCCCAAAATGTGGCTCAGGCTATAGCAAAACGCAAACGAGCTTTTCGTTTATACTTACGACATAGAAACAATACCACTCTTCTCCTTCGCAACCAAGAAAGAGCTAGGTGTAGGAAAATAATCAGAGAGGCAAAGAAAGCTTCTTGGAGGTCCTTCCTCGCTCAGCTCAATTATCAAACTCCATTAAGTAAGGTGTGGAATTTAGTTCGTTCATTATCAGGCAAAAGAAGTTTTCATTCCCTTCCAGTCTTACACGTTAACAATACAAATATTACGCAACCGCAAGAAGTAGTTGATACGATTGCCCACACATTAGCTCGATGTAGTGCTTCACGGCATTATCGGGCTGGATTTATTGAATATGCTCAGCAACATTCTCGTCTGCCAGCAAATGGATTTAGATCAGAAAACAATGAAGAATATAACACTTTGTTTACGATGTCAGAACTCCAAAATGCAATTGACTCGACCGGGAATACATCAGTTGGACCCGATCAATTGCATTATCAGTTTTTCCGACATCTTCCGAGCAGCACTCTGCAGTTTATTTTATGCACATTCAACGAATTATGGGTAAAGCAAGTTTTTCCTGAAGCATGGAAGGAGGCTATCATCATCGCTTTGCCAAAACCAGGAAAAAATCGACAAGACCCGGCAAATTATCGTCCCATTTCTCTCACAAGTTGCTTTGGCAAGATATTTGAACGGATGGTTAAAAAACGCTTGGAATGGTTTTTGGAAAACAATCAACTTCTCTCCAAATATCAAAGTGGATTCAGAAAATATCACAGTACCCTAGATCACATCATTCGGTTAGAAACAGATATACGAAAGGGATTTAAATTTAAAAAACATACCTCTGCTGTCTTCCTGGATATTACCCGCGCATATGACATGGTGCACCGACCCACCTTGCTTTGCAAACTCCACAAAATCGGCATACGTGGACACCTTGCGCAATATTTGGTGGGCTTTTTGACTGGTGACCGCAGATTTCAAGTACGCTTTCGGTCAATTTTGTCCAACACTTTTTCGTTCGAAAATGGCCTACCACAAGGCAGCTGCTTATCTCCTTTACTTTTCAACGTTATGATCAATGACATTTTTGACCAAATATCTCCAGACATCCAACACTCATTGTTTGCAGATGATTGTGCGATATGGTGCACAGACAGGGATCCAGCACATTCTGTTCCACGTCTGCAAGATGCGTTGAACAGTCTAGATGACTGTTCTTTAAAAAATGGCTGCATTTTTCTCCTACAAAATCTGCTGTAATGGTATTTACAAAAAACAATCGAATGTTAGAAGAATGTACTTTGCGTTTATCCGGACATGTAATACCGCGGGTAAATTCATTCAAATACCTTGGAATAGTTCTTGATAATAGGCTATCAATGATGAAACACGTAACATATGTGAAAACAAAATGCAATAGAAGAATGAATTTATTCCGATGCGTAGCTGGCGCCGATTTCGGGGCTGATCGCCGAACACTTCTGCAATTGTATAAATCCTTAGTACTACCAATCATAGAATATGGTTGCACGGTATATGCAGGAGGATGTGAAGGTGCAATGAAAAAACTAGATATCATACAGAATGCATTTATTCGAATCGCAATTGGTGCTATGAAAACCTCTCCTATTTCATCGCTACAAGTTGAAGCAGTCATATCACCGTTGCGGTTCAGACGCATCGAACAAACATTGCGATATTCAAGTAAAATCATGTCACACCCAAACCACAATGCTTTTAATGCACTTAAGACATTACCGTCAATACACCACAATTACCTTGGTCCAGCGGAACGAAGATCCGGCCTCACAATAGCATCCAGAATAAAGAAGTTCTGCTCCGAAATAAACTTCACTCGGCCAAGCATTCCTCAACTACCGCTGCTTTCCACCCCTCCGTGGGTAGACAGGTCTTGGAAGGTCTCGTTTCTTCTTGATTGTCCAAAAGTCACTGTTACAGACAACGAGATACAACATAAATTTAACCTGTTGCGGCGCGAACACTCGAATTTCCATTTCCTCTTTACCGACGGCTCAAAATCTGGTGATCATGTTTCCAATGCTGTATATGACCCCGAAAACAACTTTTCCATACAAACTCGTCTTCCAGATGGCACAACAACTTTCATAGCGGAGCTTCATGCAGTTTTAAAAGCAGTTTATTTAGTTGACGAAAGACCTTGGATAAAGACGATGATTTGCACAGATTCGAAATCAGTAGCTCAGTCCTTACAAGTGAACATTCCGTCATCTCATATTCTCATACTCATCTATAACAAACTGCACACATTGTCAAATAATGGAAAATGCGTTAACTTTCTTTGGATTCCAGGTCACAGTGGTATCCATGGAAACACAAAAGCAGACGAATACGCAAAGAAAGCATTGGCCTTTTCAGCTATCACACACATTCCCACTGATTATCAATCAATACAAGCAGCTATTAGACAGGCAGTGCTCAAAGCATGGCAAGAACAGTGGACACAAGCAACACAATACACACAACTCAAGCAAATAAAACAAAAAATCGAAATATGGCACACAGCTAAGCGGAACAATAGACATGAAGAAAAGGTACTAGCTAGAATGAGATTGGGCCATACAAGGTACACACATTGTTATATTTACACTAAAGATGCTCGTCCTTGGTGTACAATATGCAACTGTGCACAAACTGTCATGCATATCATCATCGAATGTAGAAAATTTGACAATGAAAGAAGGCGGATGATTGAATACTGCAACCGGAAGAATATGACTTTCACCCTGGGTTCCGTCCTCGGTGATTCAGAAGAATTGATCGAACTCCTCTTCTCTTATCTCCGTGAAATTAGAATCTTCGATAAACTTTAGCTTGGCAACTGAGACGAAAACTACATGACGTAAAATAGTATATTGATCCTCACAAATGGGCATGCAATGGTCATTTTGACCGAAATGCCCTAAAACAAATGAAATGAAAATGAAATGTCGACATATCTTCATGTAATCGGGCGGTCCACATGGCTGGTGGTGATAGGGTCATGTCGAATTTCCTATGGGAATTCGATTTGGTCTTTCTCACCGAAGTGAATCTTTCTCGCCGATGTTTTCTGGGTGTGAGATTGTAATTTCATACAGGGTGTTTCACAATAAATGTTACTTTTGAATAGCTTAAATGAAGGTCTTACTTGTTCGTAAGCGCATAAATTTTATATGCATTTTGCTGCAAATTTGTTGCGGTTTTTAGTCCTTATATTTTTTACAAACCGTCAACGGTGCAATGCCAATGGACGTGCAATGCCAACACCGTCAAAACGGGTCAATTCGCCGTGTACAGATGATGAGGCGGTATGGATGGTCAATGGTCATGCATTACGGCGCTTTGCGGAGTCTGGCCGCAAGTGCGACGGAGTTTCGGTAGCCATTTTAAAAGGAGGAAGGATATTCCGTCAAAAATGTTTTTCAAACGGGTGGTAGAAAGGTTCCAGAAGACTGGAAACACGAGACCAGCCTCGCCTCCTGGCCGGACGGCGATCCCAGAAAATCTGGTTGAAAAAGTCAGACGGAAGGGTGGCATAGTGGAGGACCCGTGAAGGGTGCTGAACTGAAAGTTATATGTTCATACGTCCTATTGTTCTGCTGTCTCATGTGGTAATGCTCATGAGTCATATTTAATACGTTACTGCAACATCGTCGTTTGAAAAGCAACATTCATTGTGAAGGACCCTGAAGCTTAACAGCGAATTGACCCGTTTTGATGGTGTGGACATTGCACGTAAATAAAGAATGCAGTTGATGATCCGTCATAGTTTTTGTAAGGATAAAAAACCCGAAAGAATTTGCAACAAAATGAATATAGAATTTATGGGCAGGCGAATAGTTTAGGTCATTTTAAAAGCTTATCAAAAGTAACGTTTATTGTGAAACACCCTGTAGATATCTTCTCTAAAAAATGGACAAGCGTGGGAGTTTTTTGGGCCCTCGTGGCTTGGTCGGCAAAGGGTAGGCGTGGAGGGTAATCCCTCTCTTGGGGGTTTGTGGGGTGCGTCTGCCAGGTAGGCGTCAATGAATCCTTTCGATGGAGGGGTCGCAAGCCACTGGTGCGCGAATAGTCGTGGAGGGTTACTACTTTCCAGGGTGAATTGCGAAGTGTAATGCCCTAAATTGACTCCTGGGAGGGTGGTTAAAAATGGTTGCGGATAGGGGTACCCGCGAAACACCGGTTTACTCGCCGGCCTTGGGTTAAATTGTTTTCAGTGCAGATGAAAACAAATCGTGCTAGACCGTTTAGAGCCTCTTGTTTGTGCCTGTCAGTGTGGGTTTTGTCCCACATTACGTTTCCGAGCACGTCTTTAGATGTCCTTCTTCCAGGTTTCTTTGGCGGGCTTTTCCGGCTGTGATTTGTGCCGAAATCAATTTGGCGCGCGCCGGCCGCGCCTCCCCTCGCAGTGGGCCATCGACGCGCGGGCCGCGGCGGCTGGCAACGGGCGCCGGGCGCCGGCTCACCCGGCGGGCTCAGTCGGCCGGCCGGCGCGGGCACGGGCGGCGCTCCGGCGGCAGGGGCGAGGGACCGGTCACAGGTCACAGGTCGCAGGTCACGGGTCACAGGTCACAAGTCGCAGGCTAAGGAACAAACAGGTTACTGGTCACAGGTTTCAGGATAGGTTTCATGTCCTAAATCGCATCACGAAGCTCTTTTAGTTCAAGGTCACGGGTCAAGCCAAGGCTCCTGACCTACGTGGCAGACAGACTCAGACGCCTCCCAGCAGTGAAGTGAACTTCAGGTCAGCAGTGTTCGGCCTGCTGCTGCCCGGAGGTATCCGGTGGAGGTCTGCCGCTATTCCTGGCCGATACTGGAGAACGGCAGAGTCCTCTCAGAAGCAGCATCAATTCGGTCATACTCCAGGCCAGGTCAGTGATGCTAGACATCGTCAGTGCCGTCCGCCAGTGTCGTCTTTAGTACGATCACTAGTGCTGTCCGTAGTGTCGTCGCTCAGTATTTGCCGTCAGTGTCGTCTATCCGGATTGCCCGTCGGTGTCGTACCAGTATTTTCTGCCAGTGTTGTCTATCAGCGTTTTTCAAATATGTTGTCCTTCTGTTATTCGACAGTGTTGTCCAACGACGTCGTCGTTCAGTGTTGTCCTAGTGTTGATTCGCACACGGAGGGGAGGCGGAGGTTAAGTTCCCCTGATAACGATAACGTAACTGCATTAAGTACCGAACTTTTGACTACATTCTTCATACCACGCTCAAGTAACTAGGGTCACGTTAGATGAGCTCACTTAAAAACTCATCTTGCAAAGTTTGGCATCTTGCTGTTTGGTTGAGACCAACAAGCAATGGTTAAGTACTCAACATTTTCAAATGGCATTAAAATTTAACCCTCGCGGGCCCGGGGGGCGTTTTTCGCCCCCCCTGGCGAATATTTGCGATAACTCCCCAACGCTTAGGGATAGGAAGGCGAAACTTTCAGTACCTTTTCTCCCATCAATTAGACATCTTCCGAAGTAAAAAATTTGGACCTAGCCCCCTTGATGACGTCACAAGGTCCATTTTTCTAGACCCCTGCACGGCAAACTTCGGCGTCACAGACGCAAACTTCAAATAGCTGCTAAAAATAGAGTTTTAGAGATAAAGACAAATTACGAGCATGGCTTTGTAGCGTTTGACCTAGAGAAAAATAGAAAAATAGTTTTGGTGACCTGAGGTCAGAGGTCAGGTCAACGACCCCGAAATGTGGTTTTAGTTTTTCGCAAATAACTTCGACAAAAATGGTCCTAGAGCTACGGCAGTGGTACCATCGCATTCGCCTTGTCAAGCCGCGTCGAATGATATATATTTTGTTCGGAAAAGGTCAAGTTTCATGTTGACCTCATGTGACCTCGAATGACCTCTGGTTGACCTTGACACATGAAAGGTCATTTATGATGGATTTGTACCCGCTGATCACAAATCTGGCATCTATTTTTCTCTAAGCCTTCATTTAGAGCTTCCGGATGGCAATATTGTCTTATTTGTTATTACTAACTTGAATCAGTGAAATAGCCTCTAGCAGGGATACTCTTCTGTGACCTTGACCTTTGAGCAGCCTTGTATCGTAAGATGAACCACAAATAGGGAACTGATAAGACTCAAAACATTTCAAAACATCTTGGAAGTTAGCACGCAAGATGTGCGAAAAAGTGCCAAGTTTGAGGTCAATTTTGAGCGTGACCTTGACCTTGACCTTTGATTTGGAGCACATTTTCAGAATCCTCAGATTCTCTTCTTTCGTTTGACACCCAATTTTGCCGGTTTGATGCAGCCTGCCGTCCTCTAGAAGGCTTACTTTGAGATCACTACACATGTGCCGGTTTTGGCCTTTGACCTTGACCTCTGACCTTGAAAATTGACCTAAGGTCAAAAATTTTAGGTGCATTAGAATCGTCTCGTAAGGAACTTTCGTTTGGTATCGCTTTTGTTTCCGTAGCTCCCTTATTTACGGAGTTAGACAGGGGGGGGGGGCGAAAAACGCCCCCCCCCCGGGCTGCGGTGGTTGGGATTACCCCCCGGGCCCGGCCGGGTTAAGAGCATTGCATCATTCTGCCTACATTCACTGCTTACGGTTGGTCTTTTTGCCCTCTCAGAAGCCTCACGAACTGCCTCGAACTTAGCGGTAGCGCTGGGATGCGGCAGTCGTGCTCAATACTCAATGCTCATGGCTGTACGTGTCCAGCATGCGGCTCATCGCCAGCCAGAGAGCCGGGGACGCTCTCAGCCATCGGCAACCACCACTCATCAATCGTTAGGCGCATCTCCGACAATCGAAATATCAAAATGTCTTAAATTGGAACAACAACCATACCGCTTTATCCATGAGAAGACAGGATCTTCATACGCACAGATCCCGCTGCCTTTAAGACGTGGGGAGTCCCACGAGCAAGCAGGTTGCTCAGCAGGCTATCAAACAGAATACATCAGTGACCATGGTCAGGGGATAACTGGGATCTATCGGAGCAGTAGACACCGCACATGGCGCACAAAGAAAATTATCGTAAAAGGATTCGATTTGATGGATGACGGTGAATACAAAAGACAGCAGACAAAGCATATAGTAAGATTTACAGATACTGAAAGCAGAAAAGGCAGGAATCACACAAAAGCTATGGCTGCGTATAACCAGCCTGGACTTCATCCATTGTTCACTGTAAGCACGCGCAGAGGATAGTCCTAGCTGGTAAATCTTTCTGATAAAAAATGCAAGCGTAGCAAAGCAAATTTTTCTCCTCTCTCTCTCTCTCTCTCTCTCTCTCTCTCTCTCTCTCTCTCTCTCTCTCTCTCTCTCTCTCTCTCTCTCTCTCTCTCTCTCTCTCTCTCTCTCTCTTTCTCTCTCTTTCTCTCTTTCTCTCTCTTTCTCTCTCTTTCTCTCTCTTTCTCTCTCTTTCTCTCTCTTTCTCTCTCTTTCTTTCTCTCTTTCTTTCTCTCTTTCTTTCTCTCTCTCTCTCTCTCTCTCTCTCTCTCTCTCTCTCTCTCTCTCTCTCTCTCTCTCTCTCTCTCCCTTTTTCTCTCTACTTCTGTCTTTCCGGCGCGTACTTCTTTGCTAAAACCAAGCACGTGTCGGACGGAGCCGCACCAATTATTCCGGGCGTGGAGCCTAACTTGCGGCGCATAAGAACGAAACCGATGATCACAGGGAGTGTCTTATACTTGCCAGCAAACAGCCCACACTGACGGTTTTCCAACGCATCGTCCTTCTTTGTGATGCTAATTGGAAGAGGAAAAAAGGAAATCGGCAGCCTGCTGTACCTGCCTACGTCGCTGGGAGGTACTGCTGGAATGCACTCGGTACCACAAAGCCCTGGATTAATTGTACAAGAAATTTACAGCCGCCCGCACTACACGCACCTGCCCCCGTGGTCTCACAGCGTTTCTAAATTTCAGTAGTTTATGTGCAGATGTGCAATATAACTGTCACGACAAGGTGTAGGTACATACGTCAGGCGTAATGGTTCCAATATTCGCGCATGCCTGCTGTTTCTCAGGTCTATGTTAGGCCAGGCCAGTCACTGAGGAAGTCTGTATCAGGACAGTTGGGTCTAGAAATACCCATAGTATTATCAGCTTGCCCGTGATATACCCCGGGGGGCCGGGGGCAAACTACAGCCGTCGACACTACACACGCACACACCATTGCCGCTAATGCTGCTGCGGGCGACCAGAATATATGTTATGCATCTGGAATGATAACATAGTGTCACGACGTAATGACATGATGTGGAGATGGAATTAAATTGATGAAATACTAGGACTTACTCCACAAGGAGATCGAATGGGTCGGAGCGCTTTCAATATGTATTATACATATCGTCGTCAGCGAATCAATAACGGGTCGAATCGAGTCGGGTATCGAAGAGGATACCTTCTTCTCTTCGATACCCGACTCGATTCGACCCGTTATTGATTCGCTGACGACGATATGTATAATACATATTGAAAGCGCTCCGACCCATTCGATCTCCTTGTGGAGTAAGTCCTAGTATTTCATCAATAGTGTCACGACACCCTGCCCGGAGCCCGGAGACATAGCCCGACACCCTGAAACATAGCCCGGAGAACGACCGCCCCGGTTGTTTTTCAATAGAAAAACACAATTCTAACGAATAGTGTTTGTCTAATGAAACAACAACAAAGTTATTTCTCTATAACTTTTATCTTTAGTAAGATATATAGGTGAAAAGTTTCATTCGATCTTTGTCCTTGATCGTCAAAGCAAATTTGAACGAGGCAGACGTGTTTTACGTTGCTCTGAATCATTGCAAAATTAAAGCGCATTGTAAGCTTTTTGATGGATCTATTATATATTACAAGACTGAGAAGAAAATGGTGCTTCTGATGCACCTTAAAGCTTTCAGTGATATATTTCAAATTTGATGGTATCTTGCATTTCATTTTGCATTTTGTTGGCATTCAGATGGAACAATTTCAATTTTGCCCGGCAAGAACATCACAATTTATTGTTCGATTTTTCAAGTCTCGAGCCTCCAAGTCACGTGATTGTTTTTGACACTTTGACTGGAAAACGAATGAACCGAACCAGCTTAGAAAGTGCATTTTAACGGGCAAAAAGCGTATCTGGGCCCTGTTCATGAACCCTGCGGCCGCTGCGGCCGGCCGCAGGCTCTAAGCTCCGCCCATTTTTGAAACGTCATCACCCACTCGACCGCAATCAGCGTTCCATGAACACGTCTGCTGCCGAAATAACTTCCGATAATTGCGCGCTTGAGACGATTACTAATCAATAGTTTCCACGCGCTTCTTTTATCTGTGTATTCCATTCCTGTGATGAAAAGGGCGTTTCTCAAGGCCGTCTGGTGTTTCTGTATTTTTGTAAGTGGGTCACATAAATGATTTGGTATTTTTTTCATGAAATCGTAGCACAAATAACTTAAGTCTAAAATTAAATCTCATATTAAAGCATTAATCTAATTTTCAAGTATCATGGCATGCAACACCGGACGGAATGAATTTGTTTACAACATCGTCTCCATGGCAACACAGCCTACACTTTGACTTCAGTGCGCCAAGTTCAGTGCAATTACTTTCTTGCGGCTCGGCGGTCGCTGGATTGTGGCCGCAGAGATCGCAGCGGCCGCAGCAAGGTGACGTCATACATTCGTCATACTACATGAGCCCCGCCCCTTTTTGTGACGTAACAACCCGGCTGGCCGCAGCGACCGCAGCGGCCGCCGGGGTTCATGAACAGGGCCCTGGTGTGTCAACAGATATGATGATGCATAATGCAGTATCAACTATCAAGACACGTTTGGTGATTTATCCTGCCATGATAAATAAATAAATAGCGACATGTGGTCAAGACCAGTGTCCAAGCCGCTATCAAGAAATGAGAGAACTTTTGAACGGAAGCAAGATTTACAAATCGGTGAACTTCTACGAAACTCGACTACAACCACGATCCATGAAGTCATGCACTCATCAGCTTTCTTTCGTCAAGTTTTCATTTCTTAGGGCCCCGGTGATATCCTCATACTTATCCTTCTTGCCAGGCTGCAGATGTGCGCAGTGCCAACTGGGCAGCAGCTGCACTCGCAGTCCTGCACAATCCTATCACAACGTCCCGTATCCTATCCGTATCCTTGCCATAGTATTTTACTCATCACCTCATTATCACCTCAACTGAAAAGCCACGATGCTTGTGGATGTTGTTGTATGTATGTTGAAGGCACTTTAGAAAATCAGTCATTTTGTAAAATGCCTAGGCATTTTGCAAAATGCCTGATTTTCCAGGCTTTTTGCAAAAAGCCTAGGCATTTTACAAAATGACTGACTCTCCAGTCATTTTGCAAAATGGCTAGGCATTTTACAAAATACCTAGCCATTTTACAAAATGACTGAGCAGCGTGTTGTAGATACGAGTAGGTACCTAATTATATACGTTTTGGTAGCGTGTAGGTGGACCGAGGAGTCCAGCATTATGACCAGAGGAGTCCAGCAGTGGGAAGTCCATACCTACCTCTCTCTATTTTGAGAAGTGCAGGCCCGCGACATTTCCAACCCCCACGTCAGCGACGCTGCTGGATTTAAAATGATCGATCTGAAGCGTCAACAAACGACTGGCCCTATGCCGGCCTGTATCTGTAAAACCATTAGAGGTCGCGAGGATTCGATCCCACACACTTAGGCGTTAGTGTCTTCTGAAACCAACGCTCTCGTCCTTCGCCAAACGACCTAATGATTCTCCCGATGTGGAGCTTGATATTTTTAACTGGGACCATGCAAGTAGGTACTCAAAGCTGTCAAACAAAGACACAATCAAACAAAGACTACACTCATTCGTTTACATGTAATTGTACATCAACCGGGCCTGCCTATTGACTAGGGCCGGTCTCCGGCTGGTTTTGTTAGGTCTAGTTTCAGGCAGAACATGCCAACGGCGTTGATGTACTTGGGAGTTTTTACAGCGTTAACTAACAATGCTTTATGCTACAGCCGAGTCTGCAACTCAACCTGGTCGTTACTCAGCATTGTCGTCATCACAGAGCTTCAAATCGATCAGCTACAGGCTGAACACGTACTTATAGGGTATAGGAAGACGTCCAAAAACTGTTGGCCATAGTATCTGTAGTGGGATCTACGTTCCATGCTGGTCAGGCGTTTTGCAAAATGCCTAGTCATTTTGTAAAATGGCTAGCCATTTTGAAAAAAAGCCTGGTTGCGTTCAGTCATTTTTCAAACAGCCGTCTTTTTGTAAAATGACTGATTTTCTAAAGTACCTGCAACATGTATAGATAAATAAAAATGTCACTGCAAGCCGACTAAAGTCCGATTTCAGCTAGTAAATATCGCTATCAAAGACCACCTAGATCTTACACAGGAGATAAAATAATGTTCTTATCTCGGAAACCACTGTCAAAGCATAAATTCTGAATAGTGAGTGTGTAATAATACGTCAGAGATAAATAGAATTCACCTCATTCATCGCTACTTGCAAAAAGGCTGAGCTAGAATGAGTTTCTCAGAATCAGCAACTTTATTCCATCTTCAACGCTTTCCATTTACATAAGTAAGCCACCTGAGACTGTTAGCGGGGAAATTACTACAGCGAGGCCTGAAAATACGACTTTTAACCACCCATACCTGTAAAGAGCCAAAAAGTAGGTATGCTGTTGAATACCAGTTTGGACAAGGCATACGACGGAACATCGGGTTCCTCTTGTTGCTAAGGTAGAAGCACAGCGTGGGTTGCAGCGACGTCAGACCTTTGTCGAGAAAATATGGCCAGATTAGCTGCTAGGCCTGGTCGGATCGGGCGTCCGACTCTGAATATGCCAGTGCTTGCGATCACCGTGCAATATGCTGGTTGGCGTCGAGTCCTGGACGTAACGGGCGACGGTGTTCTCAGACCTTTTCGTTGATGGTTCGATGATCCTGACACGAGAACAAATATCGAGAGAGCACTCGCTGTATTGATCTTCCAGCATGGGTCTATGAGCACTGTTTAGCTGGCGTAATGTGTGTGCATTGCTTATACAGAGGCTAATAGGTCGGAAGGAAGTATGCATGAGCATACACACTGGAAGCTCATCAATCTTCGGACGCACAAAAGATTGGACATCAGTTACGAGCGTCCTACGGCGTCCAATTTCGAGCCGGCATTCTTCTTGGTGAATGATAGTTTAGCATATCGTCAGTTTCAACGCGGCGAAGCTTCACGCCAAAAGATAAAGTCAGGGCTGACGACGTCAACTGTACTTCAAGTATCGTGAGAATTTCCACAACGCTGAGCAGACGAGCACTGAGCATTCTTAACATAGCATATCGTAACCATTCGTCATCCATTCGTCCACACTGTGCTGGTGATCACATCAACTTGGCAAGAGCTAAGTACCTAGTTAATGACACTTGAACGCGCGCTGGGGCGATGCTCGGCGCCAATCACGCTGGCACGAGAAGGGTGCTTGAACAGTGCCCCCCCCCCCCCGTCTAACTCGGCATTTGGACCGAGTAGCGACACACGGTAAGTGGCGTTCGAAAGAGCATTGAAAATGAAATAGAAAGTATTTACTTCAATTTTAAGGTCCGGTCAAAGGTCAGGTCACTAGAGGTCCTCAAAGATCAATTTTTGCCTACTTGAACACTTTTTGACAAATCGGCACATAATTGGGAAACAAACAGAGCTAAAGCGCCGCGAAAAAAATCATTCGGTAGTTTTTTTTGCGTGATTTCTGTTCTTTCAGATTTGACTTCATAAACTGCTTAGCCTCTTAAATTACAATGACTTTAAAGTTGACGTTTTTGCAACAAAAGTTTTTCAAAGATAAATTTTCAGACTGACCTTGCATTGAATTTGTTTTAACCGGAATCGTGATCCTCCCATCGACATGCGTCGCATGGAGCAAGGATTTGACCTCTACATAAAAAGTCTTTGATAATCTGACTCAAAGTCAAGGTCATAATCTAACCAAGGCCAGATTGCATATCAGTTGATCCTTATCTTGAGCTGAACGCATCCAAGGTGTGTTCATCGCTCTAGCATGTATTTATCGAAAGTCATTGTCAAAAAGCAGCTGCAGCCTTTTCATGAGCTGAGTTGACCTCTTCAGCATAAAAAGGGTTCAGGGGTGCAATTTTCCGATTCGATGCGTAATGTTTAGACCTGTTACATGATGTTTGAGAAAACCTAGTGTGACTTTTGTCCAGCAGAAGCGAGGTTTAATTATCTCCCATCGATTTATAAAAAAAGGACGAAACATTGACCTCACCTTAGCTCATCTATATCGAATTTTCGAGATATATGCTGTATATTCTTATCAATCGCTGTTGTTCTCGCAATCGCTTTTGCGAGGCTTATATCTCAGCAACCACTGGACCGATTTACACGCGGTAATTTTTGTAGGGTAGCATCATTCCTTCTACCAAGTATTGGACTATTCCCGATGCATGTGGGTGACCCCTTATGCACGTGCCACGTGCAAAACGAAGAGGTGTCACTTTTGTAATTGTTGCAATATCTCGGTAACTACTTGGCCGATTGCGCTGAAAGTTGGCGTGCAGGTAGGCACCCACTAGACAATGCATATCCATGTGCCAGAGTTGGGGTGCTGCTGCACGTGCGCACGTGCAGGGGTCGTTTCCAGATCTCGAGAACGGCTGGACCGATGGCGCTCAAATTTGGTACATGGTTAGGGACCGGTTAGTAGGGTGCCGTGCAGAAGTCAGTTGGGACCCATTTTGCACGTGCGCACGTGCAGGGTGCCGCTTCCAGATCTCGAGAACGGCTGGGCCGATTGTGCTCAAATTTGGCACATCGCTAGAGACCGGTTAGTAGGGTGCCGTGCACAGGTCAGCTGGAGGTACCCCCTCGAAATTTCGTATGTGCAAGGCTCACCCTCTCGCTCGCTCCGTTAGTCGCCCCAAAAGGCGTTATACTGGTATCGTATTTTTCGTGTCTGAATTGCTTTTTTTCGTTCGTCATAAATGCACCTCCATTACACAAAGTTACCGCTTACATCTGGCTTCAGCTATTCAGAATAATTTCAAGAAAAATTAGCTACTAAAATATCTGGCGTGCTTTGCAATTGGATTGTCCAGTTGCACTTTCATTTACTGTTATACATTTTCGACAAACTAACATAGTTGCCAGTATTACACACTCCTCTTCTTGTCTGGCATGGTATTCACCTTCGCGTTCCCCTATGCCAACGCAGCACAGTGTTTTGAAGAGGTCCGCATCTATCGCATTATTTAGCATGCTATTATGCAAAGTGGAGTGTAGACGCTTCATCAGCGAGGTAAACAAGATATCTAGTTGATGAAGACAAGACACTGATTCATGTCTATCATGTTTCAGACTCTGGTCATCAAGTGGAAAGCACTGGACGGTGCAGCTGTCAACGTCTTTTCACATGAAGTAAGTATGTTGACCACGATAGATATGATGTGTCTGTTACGAGGGAAAGGCTATTGACCAAATCATGTAAAGCAGTTGATATACTTGGTTTCACTGTTTTCATCGAAGTTCACCATTTCACTCGCTATTATTCCTCTAAGTGTAACTAAACGAAAGAACGTTTTCAATGCAGAAAATCAGACTTTTCCTACCGTCACCGGTACCGACCTCCATTTCCCGGGCTTTCATCAGCTGAAGTGCTGACGGCTCCTTTTGAAGTGGGAAAGGAAAACAACTAGAAAATAATGGCTAATATCTGCCGCAGACGTGTTTTAGATCTCAGTGCGGCTCTTATAATGACAGCCTAATTGCTTTTCAGAGGCATATGGAGAAGAATAGGAAAGAAGAGCCTGAAACTTGCTAGGCGAAGCAGTTCCACGGAGAATGGGAGCGGAACATCTGCCCACCTAGTGGTGGTCGAGGACTCGCCGACTCTGGACTCAGAAATAGAGGTGGGGATTGATCGAACTCCGGACTCCAGGCTCAAAAGTCAAAACTGACCCAAAAATTGTGTGCTGAAAAGCTGTGCTACGATGAGGCAGCCGCATATGCCTCGATATAATTCAGATAGATCTTCGAATTCATTTCATTTTCCCTAATTACAGGTTCTCAATGTGCGTTGTTCAAACCGCATGCATAGCATTATTATTCTTGTTTTGCGGGAGTAACATTTCCTTGTTGACGGGAATCACCTTTCCATGTCTTTAATGTCTCTTCCATTCTGACTAGATCCCATCGACCATAGCGGCGCAGCGGACACTGGACACTATAGAGCTAGCAGTTTACAAATGGCCTCACGCTAACTTATTTGATCCACATACTTCTTATGTGCCCGTTGTGTCTATGCCTATAAGAGGCAGGGATAAACAATTCAGTGACCAGTGCAACTCTGGTTCAATCTCTGCTGACTAGAGCTGAAGTTTGACACCACCCCGGTCGCCTCCCACAGGGAACACTGGTCGACGGTATAACTGATCTCAGCCCAGGGGGACAGGACGAGGGAAAGGCGCCGACACAGGGCACAAGAGCCATGGAGCCAACAACCAGCCTGGACAAGGTGAGAAGCCATACTCAGGGACATTGTCACATTTCGTATTAATATTATCAGCAGCGGCATGATAAGTGTGACAGGTATCAAATGCATGGAAGTTATGGCCTATGGGCCATCATCCGTCTTCTAATTAATATGAGACACCGTTTATGGCTACTTTGGCCAATAATCAGCAGAGATCACACACAAGTCCATCCATCGTCTCAGCAAAGATGGATATTCAGCATCGTTTGCTCATGGTGAGATGGGAAAAATAGTTAACGACATTGCCAAACACAATATTTGCATACTATTTTTCAAATCTCTTCTAGCCTCTTCTGTCCCCGCACCAGGTCCCCAAGTGTTGAAAAGCCGAGATGACCTCGGGGTCTAAGACGCATTCAGGCTACATCACAAAAAGGTGCAGTTGCCCGCGGCATCCCATGCGGGCGCTGTATGAAATTCGTAATCCAGCGAGCTCCATTCGTGTCCGCATTCAGTGCGGGCTGTTTATGGTGTTTGCTGTTCAGTGTTCGGCCTATACCATCACATACTTACACAATAGGCACACACATAGTGGTTGGCAATATGCTTTAGGTGACTCACCCATCCGCAAATTAACTTCATCTTCTCTGCACTATAATCCGCAGAGTGTTAAATAATGCCGTCAAAATATGTCTTCCCACTTAATTCCATTGCAATCACTGAATCATCACGTTACATCCGCCGCTTAAATATGCCTTGCTCGGCGTCACAGACGCCTGGTGACGCAGGCCAGACCCAGCTGCGCGTTCATTACATATCATTTAGGCCCGGCTGAGATGGGCAGCCGCTGTCAGTTCCGGATATTCAGCCGCACTTAACAGCCGGTGGGCTCAGCCGGCGGCCCGTGCGGGTCGTTCTATTTGGTCGCTGAAATCCGCCATGTCCCGAGGCCTGCCCGCGCCGCCAACGGACCTCACCACAGCGGCTCATGGTGACTGTGTAAATGATGTCTGATCATTTGAAAAAGAGGTCTGTAGGCATATGTGAAACCCAAACTGACAACCTTTAAGAAACACAAGTCGTTTTCACGACGGCTATTTGGTACACATTTGGCGCAGATTTTAGTCTAATTAGGCTCATTGTGGTTTTTTTCAAAGTTGTCAGGTTAGGTTACACAGATGCTTATACATGCCTACATGTATAGTCGAGTACAGAATGATGTTCCACTCCTCAGAAGCTATCAGTTGACCGGAGCGCTAAGTTGTGCCGTTTATCACGCAATTAAGCGTGTCGATTGTGAGCATTGGCACAAAGCTATAATTTGTGAACTGAGCCCGTGTGATGCGGCACAGCCTACCACTCCAGGCAAATAATTGCCTGTGAAAAGTAGAACATCATTCTGTAGTCGACTATACTTGCTTATACATGCTTACAAATGAAATGCTTATTGTATGCCTCATTTTTCAAATTATCAGACCCTATTTTCGATTAAAACACTGAAATAAATTGAGGATATGAAGATATTTGTTGTAGAAGAGGTTTGGTGCAGATTTGGTCAAATTTGGTGCATTCACCAGATAGATCGTCGTGAAAACGGCTAAAAAGAACCTAATTTGACGAAATATGCACCAAATATGCACAAATTCTGCCCTAAATGTGTACCAGATGGTCGTCGTGAAAAAGGCTATCGATCATCAGCCAATTAACAGCATAACATATTACACCTCGGATACAATGTCAAACAATTGTAAGTCGAGGTCGACCCATTTGTGAGGCAGGTAACATAACAATCAACCATTCTTCTCAGCAATTCCTTGATTTCGCATGGTACGACCGCATGAAAACCGATTTATTCTATAGTCTGTTTAAAGGGACCATCCCACCTTAACATTAGATTTGAGTTGAGATAGCCAAAATGGGGTCCCTGGCTCACAATTACCGGTTTCGGCACTCACAACATCGAGAAATGCCTTAAATCAGAAATATTGAATTTCAAAATTGCAGCATTTTGATTCAGAGGGGCTAATGCATAGGAATACCCCTCTGAATGTGTGACGTCAGCGCAGATATCTAACGATTTTTAAATGTTTGACTAAAACGTTTTGTAGCACGCGGTGGTATATGCTGCTTTGTGCGCAACAAGTGCCGCACTTTCAGCTGCCAAACTATTGCTTCCAAATAAAGTCGCTAGGAACAGGGGAGATCCCAAAAAGTAAACAAAAGTAAAAGTCTAATATCTTGAAAACGGGTGAATATTTTTCGGTGAAATTTGGTAGATATTCGTTTTCGCTCTTTCTGGACCGAGCAACATCACTTTCATGCCAATTCATAAACTTTTTTGAAGGTGGTAGGGTCCCTTTAACTCACCAACTCAACATCAACGACATCGTTATCATGGCCTGAGAAAGGTTTGATATGGTTAGGCAGAACTCCACAAGGCTACATATCCACTTCCAGTCTGGCTTCCCGTTCTCTGCATCTTATCTCCGGGCTGGAATTCGCCGCCGCCCCAAACTGACACCTCGGTCGCCTTAAATTCACCAGATGCATGTTCTGTAGCCCTCGGCGACCCTTAATCTCATGAGCGGCCGTCCATCTCGTGGCCGTGCTCCCCCATGTGTCTGAGAACCACGAGGGGTTCTCAGACGTCCGATCGTACTGATATCGTTCATGCTATGCGCACGGGGACCGAGCTGCAGACCCAGAATGTCGCTTGATCAATCACACTTTTTAAAAATATGCATTGAAACATCTGAAGCAGTGTAGAATGAATCTCTTTTTTAAACGTTAATTGAAATTGAATAAAATTAAGCGATCAGGGCAGCCGTTCATATCAAGGTTGGATAAAACTCCTAAATGTTCCGATGTGTGTTGACATTAAGCCTCCATTGGCCAGGGAGTATGATTGAGCCCCCCCCCCCCCCCCCCCAGAGTTTTCGCGGATAGGATATAAGTGGCGGGCCTAGTGCTTATAAATAAAACATACCCTATGGAGCATTCTTTTGATTTTTTTTTGCTTATTATCAGTTCCGGTGCTTTCAGTTCAGGTCAGCAGGTAAAAAAGCAGTACATTGTCATGGTAAAATTGAAAACTCGCGGAATAGGAATAATTTAATTTTCTCTAAAGCGTACAAACGGCGAACCGTAGATCGTCATCATGGAACATCTTTTTGACATAACTCTTGGAAATGTAAAGTCTCAGTAACCTGAGGAAGTCACTGTCACACAATCGGTTCATAACCTGGCCGAGCGCCTGATGGCAAAGGACTGGCCTGGCGAGGGTTGATGTGAATTGCTGCTATCTTTGAATGTGGCCCGTGTCGAAAAATGTGGTTCCTGCGAATAAGAAACGTGAACTGCACAGTGCACATAGTCCACGCCGGGTAATGAAGTACAAATTGATACGGAAATGTGCATACATATTATGCTAAACTTTTAAACAAAACAAGGATTGATCATCCCTCAATCATTTACATTCCATATTGAAGGAGACACAACAACAGCTACCTATGTCCCCTCAACAAGCCACTTGCTTTACGTGCTGCAGTAAAAAAAAAAAACATTAACGGATAAATGATCGGATACAATCGTGAAAAGCGGCAATGAATAACGACAGGGATAACAAGCATTGCGACGACGAAGAAATCGCAAAGATAAAAATATCTTTGAGGAAAATCTCACTCGACAAAATCCCACGACACGGCCCAAAACGTGGCCGGGAATTTACCATCGAGGACAGGACACGGTGTCGCTGATGTTCGGCGCCCAGGTCGCGGAGTCCGGTGAGGTCACCGCGGATCCGACTGAGACAAACGGCCTTTGGTCCGGACGGACGAGGAATGATGGCCACCGTGCCACCAGCCGGGCCACCATGGTCGGTCTTGAGAGATCAGAGACGCGCCTCGGCGCCGGCTTACACTGGTGTGTGCACCTCGAGTGGTCAGCCTGACAGTATACGGGGGAAAGTTGAAAATACGATTTGTTCGAAATTTCGCGAACGTATCATGTCCGTTCCCATTTTATACCGTACCAAACGATTTCAGCATGTTTTCCGACAGCTGTTCACAACACGCTTCCTCCCAGAAAGGTCCTCGGAATAATTTAAAGTTAAATCACCCAAAGCTGCGACAGCTGCCCACGATCAACGTTGTGGAGAAGACCCAGTTACACTTCGTCAAGGCGAAAATGCTAAAATGTTCCCGTAGAGCCAGACGACTATTCAGTTCGGAGCCATTGTGTTGAGGAAGTGAGGTGAAAGGAAGGCTTTTAGACGCGCGGACCGCCGCCTTGTTCGGAAGGACCCGCGACCGCAGCGCTCCCGCTCATCAGGCCGGTCTTCTGTCCGCACGGCCTCAATGTCCTGCAGAACCCGGCCTAAAACTCCGAGCCCGGCTCAAAGTCAGTCCGCTAACATGATCCAAACGCCTCCCACGTCGGCTCCGTGGTCCACCTGAGTGGCTAAAATTGTGCAGGCACCCAGCGCTGGCGGAAAGTGCTCGGGTCAGTGCAGCTGCCTCTCATCAATGTCACTCTCTAAAAGAATCAGCGTCCGTTTCAGATCAGAAACGGTGCAATACAAATCGCAGACAGGGCAATAAAGGCCAGGACAGACGTCCCTTCAGCTTAGACAAAGACCTCCCAAGTGTTGTGTTCTCACCAGTGCAGTCAATACACTGATGTTACAGCTAAAATAGCTGAGAGATCAGTACTGGCCTCGCTGCTGATAGAAAGAGCGTCTGGTGCGGCGTAGAAGTCAGCAGGGACTCTTTAGGGCTCTGAGTAGAGCAAAAGGAGAGACGGGGCAAAGCAAATCACGAGGGGCATTCCAAACAAGAAGGAGCAAAACAGAGCTAACCGGGAGAAGTTCTGGGATAAACAAAGCTATAGAACCAGATGACCTGGCCCAGCATCATCTTGTCGCATCAGTAAACCAGACAAGGCTAGCCGAATTGGGATCTGGGGCAAACAAGGCAGCCACAGTATGACGATTCGATTTCGAACCAAACAGAGATTGGTGTATATAGCATTTGTTAAAAGAGTTTTTTAGCATATTTATTCACGATTATCGCGCTTTGCCTGAACAATGATCAGCGCAGCACCATACTGGTCGGCCATCCTCCATTGCTCCATCGCTTTACATGAGTTCCTACCAGCGAAAGTCCCAACACAGATAACCGCCTTAATTCGCCTTAACTTTAGCTTCGATCGGAGATAGCATTGAAAGTCCAGCTCAACCAGTCCCCGACTCACCCCTTTTCTGACAGCGCGGTCGGCTCAGAGGCTTCCGAAAATGGATCGCCCCGGAGGCAGTGAACGGTAAACGAACGGCTAATAAAAACGCCGCCGGCGCCGGACACTAATTGTCGGCTCACGCGCCACAAATGACGCCGTCCGTGAGCCGAATCTGGGCCGGCACGTGACAGTCGACGCCGGAGGACAGCCGGTGCCAAATGACGGTCATGGTGACAGCTGGCGTCGGATGACATGAAATTCGGCGTTGGGTGACGGTATGACGCTCGGTGTCAGATGACAGGATGACAGTCGGCACTGACTCCCACTGGATGGAGTCAATATGAATAGGGCCCGGGCGACGACAGCGGCGGAAACACATGTCACAGAGCTGTCATCGACAGCACTCATCGGGAGTTTGACGAAAAAATCGAATACGGCACATGGCGAAACGATAGCGAGTCGGCAGGGGCCTGGCTCTCCTTTGACCAAGACAAGACAAGCATGTTGGTGAGATATTGACTTCATACCCAATTACCTAAAATATTTCCACAAACTTAATATTCTTCAATTCCTGCATCATATAAATGTGTTATTTTCATAAAATATCTGCATTTACAAATGCATATAAAATGTTTTCTCTTCTTAAAGCAGCACACTTGGATTTTAAGCCCCGAAGGCGGCTTCGTTAACACTAAATTTTCATTTAAAAAAAAAAAACATTGAAAATCTAGAATAACAGGAACAACTAACAAGACTTCTAGTCACGGACCTAAGTCCTATCACATCATTTCAGGATTCATATCAAGACTCGGGCCTATAGCCATTGACATTTTCCTCTTTGTTATTTCAACAATCACTGTCTGCTAAGAAGGTGAAAGTCAGTCTTAGGTCAACAATAAGGCAATCTCCCTGATTCGGTTACGGTATATAATCTGTATGCATCATATCTCTTCCCAGTTCGTATCGATTAGACCTAAAACGGCTCGGCTGTACCGCCACACGCGCTGCATCGCTGTGCAATAGCTATAAGACATGATTAAACATACCATCATTCATCAACAATGAATCACATGGGCAACAAAGTTCTCATCGTTGCCGCATTTCCACTGACTGCAACAACCAGATTCTGAACCGTGGAGAATAAGGTGCGGAGCGCCTTGCATTTGAGTGCGTTGTTCTCCACTCCCTGATTCCCGCAGGCCGTGGGGACCCGGACGCCGTTGACCGCATGTGACCCGCGGTCTGTTTTGCGCGGCGTCGCGGTCCCAGCCCAATAGAGTGGTCAGTGCGCGGGCGGCCACGGCGACCACTGCTCTGGTGTCGCCCATATGTCTGGCCCGACCGTCGCGTCCCCGTCCCCTGAGAGTGTCGCTCATTTGCCGAGCTGCCGCAAACACACGCCGTACTCTCCAGTCGCTGAAAGGAGCCGCGGCAAAACGGATAAATACGCCGAGTGCTCCGCTCCGGTGGCGAGTGCCATTATCGGGCGCAGAGGGAGCAGGCAGCTGGGCACCGCAGGCGAAGAGAAAGGGAAAAGATGATCACAATACGTTTAAATGATATTACAAGTGGCTATAAAATTGTGATTCATGTCATTTTACACTCTCGTTCACTCATGTGAACAATCTTACATGACTCGAACCGACAGAGTAGGCCCCCGGTGTTAGCTGGAAATTCGCTGGCTTTCCGTACCAACTCAAGCCTGGAAAGGTCGTGGGTCAGATTCAGCGTCGATGCCCTCGTGATGAAGGGGTGGCCTGTCGTGCCATGCAGGCGCAGTGATACCGACTGAAAGATGTCAGCCAGGCGGGGTGAAGTGCACTTGAGCGTCATCTGGGTGAATGGTGAATACACGCTGCCACAATAGTCAGTGGGACATAAATACATATTGGAAAGCTCTCCAATAAATAGAGGTGAATAATAAACCAACGTCTCGAACGTTGGTCGGAGCGCATATGTTTTAATGACCTACTCCATATGTTTTGAATAACCTTAGATGGCCAAGGGATTTGCCCGCATTCGCATTGGTTTAAAATAGCATTCAAAAAAATTTACGGCTTTCCAGTTTCTGGATCATCCTACAAATTTTATGACAAATTATTTAAGCTATAAATAAATTCGCTTCCCTCATAAATCATACCATGTTTTCAGAACGCATCTAATTCTCTTTGAGTTGTTATCCAGTATTCAGTGTTCCTAAAATTAGCATCCACCAAGATGATACCACTGGAACGGTCCTCCTTGAGCTGATTCCTGCACCGTCAGATGATACCCGAGGAACGGTAGGTACTCGTACTCCTTGAGATGACCCCACCTCCAGATGATACCGGGGGCTGGTACTCCTTGAGCTGATCCCACCTCCAGATGATACCGGAGGAGGAGGAACTCGATGGGGACGGTGATGAGGACGCTGAGGAGGCGGAGGACGCTGAGGACCAGGAGGAAGGAACAGCGCCCGTCTCCCTCGCGCCGGCTACCTCCGAGGAGAACCTGGACAGCGACGGTGCCGGCAGCTACAGCTACGGCACACAGGTAGGGCTACTACAGCTACGGCTTACAGGTGGGACTACATATTACGGCTCAAAGGTGGCCGCTATGGCTCACAGGTATGGCAGCTACAGCTGCTTCTCACAGGTGGGACCACTACGGCTCACAGGTCGGACCACTACGGCCCGAAGGGACCGTACGGCTCACAGTCTGGACCGTTATCTACGGCCCAAAAGGTCTATTACGGGCTACGGCTCTCCGGCGCTGTTACGGCTCACAGGGGGGGGGGGGGGCTCCGTTCCTCTTGAGGAGTAGACCATCGTCCACCCATTTCGTCTGCCGTGTCCTTTGTTTCTTCCGAACGCCGTTCGGCGAATGGTTAAGCGCCTCCCGAACTTCCCGTTCCTCGCCGTCAGTGTTCGCTATGGGCCACAAAACTAATGCAGTCCAGCCCGGCCCAGGTCGTACCCGTTCATGGTAAAAATGGTGAAGCCAAGCCCGGTTCATCTAGCCAAAAAATAAATGAATTCAAAAACAATGCCGTTGATTAAATTTATTTCAGTCCATGTAATTCATAGCAAAAATGATCTTTACTTCACAGCATCTGACATCCAGTAGCACTCTGAAGTGCACACTAATAATTTGTTATCGCTTTTGTCACAGTCGCAATCCCTGAATCCATTTTATTCGCCGTGCCCCGTCCCGTCCGTCTGTGGACTGGAGCGACCCCACCTCACCCCCTCCCAATCCGCTGCCGTCCATCCGCTGACTGGTGAGGCGGCACGCCGCTGGGTGTGTTTGTTCCGGATGACGGCCTGTTGACTGAGCGGCGCCGGGCCCTGCTGACAGCCCCCGGCACCTCACTGGTCTGCAGTTGGCCGACAGGTCCAGAAACAGGAAATGGCAAACCAGTCAAACAGACCATATGAGGCTGACAGAAAACAACGCAGACAAAAAGCAGTAACTTTTTGCAAAAATGGGCATTTGACTTTGCAAACTTATATACGGTTTTCCAGGAACTGAATTCATTAGAGCTACAATCACGCCCGTTGATAGTTTGGAGTAGTGCTGTCACTCTAGCAGCCCATTAGCAGCCGATGATGCTGAATGGAGCTAAAAGCGCCGTTGGCTGTGGATTGCCAACACTCACAGGCTTGGTGGTGGTGGTGGCAGGGATGGTCGACATCACCCGCCTGCCACCGCCGCAGGGGTCGGTAATTGGTCAATTAGGAACAGTGCGATTAGAAGGCTTTCGGGGATCGGCTGAAATTGAACAGGATTTGGCAGACAAGGAAGTGACGACCCGCACCCACGTCTCCGCCATTAGCAGGAATTAAATCCAATCGATATCTGGAGATATTGACCGTGCATCGAATGCGTGTGCCTCATCGCTTCACGCAATACACTCGTACTAGGTACATACGTCACATATCGCCATAGGCTACTGTATTGCTCTTACACATAAGTATGTGACTAAGTTTACCCTGCAAAAAAAAAAAAATAACTAGCTGGAGATAAAATGTAGCATTATTTTAACTCTACTTTGTTAATGTATGTCATTAAACAATTTGTGCTTCTTCAATGCATCGATTTTCATGTCAGGATCGAAATTCTAAACTGAAAGAAAAGGTTACACAAAGTATTCATTGAATCAATTAAATCGCCCATTATATTCGAATGCATCCTTGCCTATCTATGAAGTAACGGGACCACCAAAGTCTGCAAAAAAAAAATGTAGGTGTGTTTGACCGAGTGTTTCTGGAAATACAACTTCAATGAGCAGTACCTAGTGCTAACCGTCCAATGCCCAAGCGAGCCAAGTTTAAAATCACGCGTCAGAGGAGGATTCCATCCAATAGTATGCACCCCTAGTGAAGATGGATGAAATCTTACTACATATCCTTTTAACCCTCGCCGGCACAGGCCATTTTGAGTCCTTCGACGGCACAAGGGGGGGGGGGTACGACCCCCCCTCGCGTTTGGCCCCTGATCGAGCTAGAGCTTCGCGGAAAAAAACGAGCGTGTTGCCCGTCACGAGAGGAAGCCGATGATACCCAATTTTAAGGTCCTAGGTCATCGGGTAACCTTCCAGGTCAGGTCAATGACCCGAAAACAGGGAAAATCGGGACCTGTTAGAAAGTCGTAAAGTGTGGCTGCTATGTGGTTTTCCGGGGTGCTGATCACGAATATCGTGTTAGGTTTGATCAGAGATGATGTCTTTAAGCATTTAGACCAGGTCGGGTCAGGTCAGGTCAGGTCAAACAGTAGGGGTTGTGACGGGTATTCGTAATACGTGTCAACCGCCTCTGACAGCTTCGTAACATGTTACGAAGGCACCAAAACTACTTCGTAAATGTTCAAATGGTTGCTAAAATCGAATTCAGCTCCAAAAACTAGCCTAGAAACATGTAAAACTCGAAAAAGTGAACCGAGGTCACCCGAGGTCACCAAAGGTCAATGACCTGACCTGACCTTCAGGTGACCTGGACACCCACCCTAATGCATGGGAGCAACATCAAATCACATGTTTGAACGTATGAAACCACGAAAAGCTTGCAAACGCGCGGCTAATGCGAGCCGACATGCGCCGAACCGCGATTTCGGCCAAACATGGTCACAGAAAAGAGGTCACAGGTCAAAGGTCATTGGGGTCAGGGTCATGAAATTTTCAGGGTAGGTGTAAAATTAATCAATGCGAGGGTACTGAAAGTTTCGTCGCGATTGGCCGCTTTTACGCGAGTTATTCGCGAAAAACCTTAGGGGGGGTTGCATCAACCCCCCCCCCTGTGCCGGCGAGGGTTAATACCAGCTGTCCCATTAAACGCACCGTAATGAAGGCGCATACTCATTTCCCTCAGCTATCACGCACTAAATGAAAACACGTTTTAGCGTCACTTCAGAGCCCTAAACCAAGTGCAGCCGTCAGAACTGCCTCAAAGGCGGGGATTTGTCCTGATACCTCATACGGAGATGGAGCGCGTGGAGCCAATCTGCCCTATCGTCTCAAATCCGGGCGGCCGCCGCGCACTGACGGAAATTCGAGTCCCCCGGCTGGATTTCCATGCCGAGCGGCTCCATTCGGGCCGACTGTGACTCGCTAGATTGGACTGCACCGGTCTCGGTCGGAGCCAATGGCCCAGCTTTTCCCGACCGGCCCCAGATTGGTCGGTCGCCCCTCGGGGACTCGCACCCAAATGCGTCCGGCGCTCCCATGGCAAAGCCCGGTTGGCGTGACGGAATTGGTGACGGAGACTGGCACAGTGGTTGACACGCAGACACGGGCTAGTGTGGTGATTGGTGTTATGGAGAAATTAATGCAGTGGTTGACATTGTGACACGGACAGCAGGGCGTTGCCTGACCTGGACTGGTGCAGTGGCTGACCCATGAATTGAAGAGGCTTGATTGACAAAACTCGATGCAGTGAGTGACACGAACTGGTGCAATAGTTCATAAAATGGCGCGGCGGTTGTTACCTGCGGTGCGGCAGCGGACGCCGGCAGGTGCAGTGATCGATGAGGACCATGGATTTGTTCTGTGCTCGGCTAGAACTGGTGGTGGGTGACAGCAGTTGTTTACGTATACCATGCGAGGGCAGACAAGGTAATCAGCAGACCGGGCAGAGACTGAGTGATAGGACTTGGGTTTACCAACGCCTAATGGATTACCAATACCCAATGGACGTACGGAGGCTGACTGGTTCGCTTCATGTCACTTAGGATCATTGTCTGGCGGCTCTTATGCACTTTACGCTTATAATAGCAAGACATATGGTCATGGATAATAGCAACACATGACGCAAAGGTTGCCACCTCTTAACGTTCACTGTGGTTTTAGGCGCGACTTGCCGTCAGGCTAAAAATCCGCAGCTGCAAAGTGGAATTTCTGACAAAGGTTCGCCGAAACACTTTTGCAGTCAATATCCAGCTGGCTGAGGGCTCTTCGATTTGAATGTCACTTTGCATTTATATGGAGCTCTAGGCATTGCCAATGGGGCGACGCTGGCAGGCGAGCTGTGATCAACAAAAGAGACGGTAGAGATCTGCAAAACCACTGTCGCTGCTATCCTGTGCAGTGTACAGCGAGTATTCTTATGTGCCAAATTCTTGATATGTGGAGGTATGGAATATGGTTGATGCATGTATATCCTTTGAGGTGTATAGTTGTGGCTTTGGCGATTTTTTAAGAGCGCTCAATAAAATATCAGCCTGTTGAGTGTTGATAGTCCCAAGCAGAGCAGTGGCGGCGACCGCGAGCAAGGATCAATACAAGTCTTCCTGACAAGCCTCATGATTTAACGGCTCCGCAAAAAAGGCATGGGCGCGCCACAACAGACACTAATTACTAACAAGAAGAGAGCGACTGCCGGACATGGCAAAGTGTTTGATGAAACTTCTTTGGCGCAGCTTAGGTAGAAAAAGGCTACCTAGATTATTTATCTGACTTTCGAAGAATCATGCACCGCAAGAAAATGATACATTGATGAACTAAACATATGAATTATTGATGGTATGCAACATGCTACTGAACATGGGTGGAGAACCTGCCCCGGCCACCCCGGCCGTGGCCGGGGTAACTTTCAGCCTACCCCGGCGCGGCCGGGGTAACTTTTCTACTCTTGTAAATCCTAAAAGCTGTCTCCATACGAGAAAAGAAAACTCACGCTCTTCGAATGTTGACTTCCATGGGCGTAATATTGCAAATCAGGTAGGTATTTACCATTTACTTAACTCAGTGACGTACCCAAGGGGGGGGGGCACGGGGGCCAAGGCCCCCCCCCCCCTGAGCGCCTTCGGCGCTCAGGGGGCCCCTCAGGCCCCAGGATATTTTTTTTTTAAACACTGGATAAAACGTCTTTTACTCGGAAGAAAAATTGATATTAAAGTTTCATTTATGTGCCCTGGGTACCCGAGGGGCCCCTGCAGTCATCCAAGGGCCCCCAGTTTCCTGGGCCCCTGGTCGCCTAGGGGGCCTCTGGTAGCCGGGGGCCTGGTCTCATGGGGGCCCTGATAGCCTGTGGCCCCTAGTCGCCTAGGGGGCCCTGGTC